TCTAAGTGCAAAAGTTCTTCATTAGGATTCATGAGTTAGGCTAAAGTATAATGCTTTGGGGATTAGGTATGTGATCTATACCTGCAACACCTATAGGACTCAGTGATCTTACAAAAGTTGTTTACTGCAGATGGAAGCAGGGTATAAAGCATCTTAACTAGTCAGCCTTTCTGTTACAATCATTAGAGCGCCTAGGACAGGGAGATGGCTCAAAGGATCGAGCACATGCTTCACATGTAGAAGTCTAAGTTCAATCCCTGATGCTGGTGGTCCCCTAGCTCCACCCCTGAGCACTGAGTGGGGAGTAGGCCCGGAGTATCACAGCACAGGGTGTGGTCCAAAAATAAGAATTTAAGAAGAAATCTGCGAACCCCCAAAATCAAGAACTTAAGAAGAAATCTGCGAATCCCCAATTCACAGATTCTGTTCTTTGAGCCATTTCTTTCCCCCTTATTGTGCTTCTTTATTTCCCACATATGAGATCATTCCATCTCTGTCTCTGTCCTCCTAACTTTACTCAGCATGTTACCTTCCAGTTCCATCCACTTAGCAACAAATTGTTGCTCTTATCTTTTTTAAAATAGTTGAGTAGCTCTCTATGATGCATTTTTAAATTTGTCTTGAGTATCGTCTTGAGAATGGAAGTTTCACATAAAGAGGGATTTTGATTTATTTTATGCACAGTGGCTCAGCAGCTGTAATCTGTCTGGATGTCCTCAACTTCTTCAAATTCAACATATCCAACACATTCAACATATCCAACTCATCATTATTCTCAGTCTTGAAATTGACATCTATTTTTGCATTCCCACATTATGATGTGCCTGAAATCACACCCTTGTGCCAATGGGACCTGTACTCGAAGATGCGGATTGATGCTGGGGGACTGATTTTGTGGTCCTATGCCTGCACAGCAAGCATTTCACCCAGGCCCCCACGCTATGTCTATTTCCCCACCCTTCCCCTATGTTTTTTGTTTGTTTTGGGGCCACACCTGGCAATGCTTGGGGACTGCTTCCAACTTGGTGTTCAGGGGACCATATGGTGCTGGCGATTGAATCCAAGGTGCTCTGACAGTTAAGTATGGTTGATTGAGCTGTATCTCCATGTCCTTCATGGTTTTTGTTTATTTATTTTTTTGTCACATCTGGTGACCTAGCTCTAAACTTCTGAACTTAGGGAACTCTCTTAGTGATTATTAGGAGCCCTTGAGTTGCCAGGGATTGAACCCAGGTCAAGTGTGTGCAAGGCAAACCACCCTCCTTGCTGTACTATCTCAGCCCCGTCCCTCCTCCTGGCTCCATGTTAATCAGATAAGCATTATCCTATGTGTTCATTGAGGACTTTATAACTGCTACCATTTGTGGCAGCTATAAGTGAACTATTCTTTATTCTATCATTTATTTTTTCTAGTTGGCTTCCCCCCACCACCCACCACAAATAATACACTTATTCATTGCACTCAAAAAGCAAATCTGATCATATCACACTCTTATTTAGCATCTGTGTAAGCTTTCCTGGCATGGAAGGGGAGGTCTGTGTTCTGTCTCTTTAATATGGCCCACAGTGATTTTTAAGCCTGCCTGCCCCAAGTTGTCTTTCAACCATAACCTCATCCTAGCCCCAAATCTCCAGGTGCAGCCCCAAATCTGGAGCCACTTTCATATCTTCTTGATTGTTGCAGAGGAATGTCCTCCCTTGTCTTCCCAGAAAAGTTTGCTGTTAATGAGCCTTTATCATTCTTTTCTCATCCAAAAGATGATATCCACCAAAGACAGAGTGGCCCTTGGGGCACAGGTGGCTATTCTCCCGAAGGGAGAAGATTTCTAGATGATCCAACAGATTAGCCACAGATTAGCCAACAGAGCTTTCAGATCTAGAAGCAATCCCTAAGTCTGTGATCCAGGTCAGGAAAGATGGGGGTGGAGTTGAGATTTTGTCTGGCTCTCCACGTCTTGGTGGGCTGATTGTCCAGGAGTGAGGCTGCCACCCTGATGGGGAACCCATCTGCCCAGGGTGGCCAGTCATCCTGTTTCTCACAGGACGTTCTCAACAGGGTGTGGCAAGCTATGGTCTGTGGGTCAGTGCAGCCCAATACCTGTTTTGTACTTCAGTTGGTTTTGGTTTTGGACAGTGCTCAGGGGTCACTTTTAGTGGTGGAATGGGGATCAAACCTGGGCCTCTCACATGCAAAGCATGCACTCAGCCGGTTGCCCTCTCTCTGGGCCCTAATTAAATTTAAAAATCTTTTAATATGCAGACTAACACAGAGAAGATGGGGATGAAGAGATGGATGCCAAACCATGGTGTGGCTGGAGGGTAAGTCCTGATGTTCCTGCTTGGGCTCTGCAGTGTCCAGGGACCATCACCACCATTGTGGCTATAATTTAGGGTTGCTAGAGAGAGATTCAACCATGCTCGGGAAACCAAACTGTACCTGAGATGGGACTCAGGGCCTTGTATATGCTAGGTATATACTCAATCATTTATGCTCTATCTCTCCAGCTCCTGGATTAAGTGGTTTTATATTTGAAAGTGACTACTCAAAAGAATAGCTTTTATGGCCTGTAAAAATGATATTCAAGTTTTAGAATCCCCAGTTTTTTTTTTCCATTTTTTATAATTTTATTTATTGAATCACCGTGAGAACAGTTACAAAGCTTTTGGGTCTAAGTCTCAGTCATACAATGAAACACCCGTACCTTCACCAGTGCCCATTCTCCACCACCAAAAATCCCAGTATACCCCCATCCCACACCCTCCCCCTGCCTGTGGGGCAGATGATTTCTACATTATTCTCTCTCTACTTTGATCACATTCACTATTTCGACACCAGACCCACCATTATTTAAGATTTTACCCCAACACTCAGATCTGCTGAAAAGGCAACAATAGACAATTTGTGTTCTATTGCTGGTTATGAATAACATATGATGTCGTGTGGCTGCAGTAGGGCCATGTGGTTTTGAAGTTCTGAAATTTTAACACTTAAATCTGGATGGATTTCTGCCAAAAGCCACTGGGTTTAGAGATCTGCTGCTGAGTCTCTGGGATCATGGCCGTTGAGCAGCTTGATGAGGAGCCAAAGAGGCCATTCGTGGGCGATGACTTGGGGTCTCATTGGGGTGGGGAAGACAGGCCTGGCTCCACCTCCCCCCTCATCCCGTGAGACCCAACAAGTTTCGTCACTGCAGGCCCAAGCCTGACTGTCCAATGACCTTTGGAGGATGACAGACCCCAAGTCGCCAAGAGGGAGCAGGCGGAGGGACGACACCCATTCCCCCCTGGAGTGGCCCAGCGACAGTAACCTACTGCGGGGTCTGGACACATTTCTGACAAAAGCCGCTGGGTTTCGAGATTTGTTTCTGAGTCTCTGGGATCAAGGCCGTTGAGCAGCTTGATGAGGAGCCAGAGAGACCGTTTGTGGGCTATGACTTGGGGTCTCATTAGGGTGGGGAGGACAGGCCCGGCTCCACTTCCCCCATCCCGTGAGACCCAACAAGTTTCGTCACTGCGGGCCCAAGCCTGACTGTCCAATGGCCTCTGGAGGATGACAGCCACCAAGTCGTCAAGAGGGAGCAGGCGGAGGGACGACACCCTTTCCTCCCTGGGGTGGCCCGACGACAGTAACGTACTGTGGAGGCTGGATGCATTTCTGCCAAACGCCACTGGGTTTTGAGATTTGTTTCTGAGTCTCTGGGATCATGGCCGTTAAGCAGCTTGATCAGGAGCCAGAGAGGCCATTCGTGGGTGATGACTTGGGGTCTCGTTGGGGTGGGGAGGACAAGCCTGGCTCCACCCTCATCCCGTGAGGCCCTGTGTGTCTCGTCACTGGGGGTCCAAATGTGACTATCCAGTGGCCTCAGACGGATGGCGGCCACTGGGCCGCCAGGGGGAATAGGCCAAGGCACGAAACCTATTCCCACCTGGGTTGGCCCAGCACCGGTAGCCTACTGCAGAGACCAGACGCATTTCTACCTAAAGCTACTGGGTTCTGAGATTTGTTTCTGAGTCTCTGGGATCATGTCCATTAAGCAGTTCAATCAGGAACCAAAGAGGCCTTGCCTCCAATTATATAGCTGAGCTGGAGGTGGTTTGTGGGTGTGTTTCCCACATACCTAACTTTTGGCCGTTTACTTTCTTGGTAAACTTTGCCCCAAGTTTTTGGGGTCTGGTCAAAGGCACAGCAGCAATTTTGGGGTATCTGGAAGTCTGAAGGCGCCATGAGGCTGCTGATGCACTCGCCTCACAGGTACAGATTGACCTGCTGGCGGCACCATACCCCCAATCCCCAGTTTTTTTTTACTGGCATACAGCCACCACTCTTACTCCATTTTTTGCCTTTGGTGTTTCTGTGCTACCTGGTGGAGGTAAGCAGTTGTCATTGATTATTTGGCCCGTAAGCCTAGACTATTTCCATTCTGGTCCTTTATAGCAGTTAAGCCCTGACCTTGTTTTGTTTTGTGGATGCATCCAGCAATGCTCATGGGTTACTCCTGCTCTGCACTCAGAAATTCCTCCTGGTGTTGCTTGAGGGACCATTTTGGGTGCCGGGGGTCAAACCAGGAGTGGCTGCATGCAAGACAAGTGCCTTACCCTTGTGTACTGTCACTCTGATCCTATTAAGCCCTGATCTTTTTTTTTGCTTTTTGGGTCACACCCAGCGATGCACAGGGGTTACTCCTGGTTCATGCACTCAGGAATTACTCCTGGCGGTGCTCAGGGGACCATATGGGATGCTGGGAATTGAACCCGGGTCAGGCTGCGTGCAAGGCAAACGCCCTACCTGCTATGCTATCATTCCAGCCCCTAAGCCCTGATCTTGAAGGTGCTATAGAATAGGCAGGGAGAGAGAAGACAGAAAGTTATTCTAATAGCAGAGATGACTATGTTTCTAGAAGTTTGTTCATGGAGCTAAATGTGGCTGCAAAGACTAAACATGTGAAAATTAAACAAAGATGATCCTTCCCACCAACTGCAAACAGGAAACAGAATTTGATTAGAAAACTTCACATTTTATTCGATGGAATCTAGTCATGTTGACTTGAAGGCATGGTGTATGAGCTATTGTGATACATACTCAAAATGACAACAAAAAGACCCTCTCTTCCATAAGCACTTAGAATGACTCACTCATAATTTTGTATAAAAGATTTCCATTCATTGGAACTGAAGATGGTAACATTGTTAGTATATTTAATAATTCTAATTTTTTGAGGGGGGAGGAAGGTATGACAGAGATGAAACAACTTCAAAAATTGTGCAGGAAACAAAGGCCCATATAGGCAAAGTATAATGTTTTTAGTAAAGTCAGGTGTAGTGTACACTTATAATTACATATTCACAGGAAGAAATTAAAGTGCACTTGTATATTCTTCTTGCTGCCGCTTGAGTTCAATTCGGGTCTGTTTTCCTACTGTATGCAAGAAAGAGGAGACTTCTGTATCACTGCTGTTAAATTAAAAATCACTAGATGTTACAAATCATTTCCTCTGAAAGAGAATGCACTTGTTTTTAAGTTAGTAGCACACTTAACATATAATCAACCCAAAGTTAGAAAAGCCACATTTTTGGAAGGCACAGTTTGTTTCCAGCGTTAACTATACACACAGATATATCTTAAGGACTCCATGTGGCAAGGGAAGGACAAGTTTATCTTCTCTGTGGTACCAAAACCCATAACCTAGCCAACTCCTTAGCCCAAGCAACTATGAGCATCTTCATGAGGCATGTTAATATTTTCTTTAAAAAAATATTTGTTTGGTCACACCCAGTGGTTTTGGTCACACCCAGTGGTGCTCAGGGCTTATTCCTGGCTTTGCACTTGGGGATCATTTCTGGCGGGGCTTGGGGGACCATGTGGGGTGCTGGACATCCAACCCAGCTGGCTGTATGCAAGGCAAGTGCCCTACCTCTCATGGTCTAGAGATTTTTTTTTTTCTGTGTGTGTGTCACACCGGCGATGCACAGGAGTTACTCCTGGTTCATGCGCTCAGGAATTACTCCTGGTGGTGCTCGGGGGACCATATGGGTTGCTGGGAATCGAACCTAGGTCGGCTGTGTGCAAGGCAAACGCCCTACCCGCTGTGCTATATTGCTCCAGCCCCGAGATGTTTTCTTTTTGATCATGATCATCAAGTGCAAAGATTCTGAAAGCTCTTCAGGTCTTCCTGTGTTCTCTAAAATTGTAAGCAACTTTCACTTATGTGTATACAGATATAATTTATACATATAGTTTATTCCTCTCCCTTCATCTTTTTTTTTTTAACAGTGATGTCCAGGTTAACTCCTGGCTCTGCACACAGGAATTACCCCTGGCTGTGCTTGGAGGGCCATATGAGATGGCACGGATCAAACCTGGTTTGGCTGCATGCAAGGCAAACACCCTACCCACTCTACTATTGCTCTGGTCTCCATCTTGTTTTTTGTTGTTATAAAGATGGGGCTGCACACTCGGTTGTGGTGTTTGCACATGTTCTTACTGGGGGTTGCACTCCTGGGAGTAGTACTCACATACTTAGTCACTGTGCTCAGAGTTGTTGAGGTGTACTGGAGATCACAAACTTGGCACATGCGGCAATACATAATCAAATCCACAACTTCATGTTTGCAAGGCTACCCCAGGGGCCCAGAAACTTTGCTTTATAGTTTCCATAAATAATCAGCCTTTCCTGGGCATGGGAGCAGGAATAAAGACCCAGCAGAGGCTAGAGATAATAGTTCAAAAGTCTGGGGCTCATGCTTTGCATATGGGAGCCCTGGGTTCAATTCTCAGCACCCACGGTCACCTAAGTGTAACTCTCAGGCACAGCACAGAGGGTAGCCTCTGAGTACGACTGGATGTGGCAGGTGTGTGCACATACATGTACATGCACACACATGCGCATGAGCACACACATACAAGCTTCCAGATAACACACTGCCTAGAGACAGTTGGTTGGCCAAGAATTTAAAGAAGATATGAGTAAGAATAGGACATAATGTAACAGGTCCTCATACGGAAGACAAATTTTTAGGATAAGGGGGGAAAACTCCTTCCCTATTACTGGGATAGGAAAAAAATGAGGGGGTTAAGATTGACTTTAGCCTAGCAACAGACAGGGAAGGTACTGAAGTGCTACTTTGCTTCACGTTAGTTAAATCACTGATCTATTAAGGGGGAAAATATCATCCTCTGAAGAGAATGTCTGGTGGCAGCTTTACATGCATTTATTTGCAAAAAACAAAAGTTTAGGTCTGAAGTATAATGGTCGAAGATTCATGGTTCTATGTCTGATGCTGACAATCAGGAAGTGATTAGAATACAAATAGAGGGAGGAGTTATTCTGGCTCTCAACTTCTGAGCAGCCTTCTGACTGAAGAGCCCTGAGCACTTGTTTGTGAGGTGTATCTAGTTTAGCGCTTCCTTTGACTATTCTCCATAAAAGAATCACGATGAGTTTACCTGAAGGACAAGTGTGTGATTCTGATGAGCTTGATTCATGTCCTCACATCCTGGGATATCCAGTGACATGGATATACAAGATTGTGCAGTGGCTGGAAAAAGAGGCTGTCAGTATTTTTAGGGAAGTCATGTATTACAGGGTAAGTTTTCTATACACAAATGCTACAGAAATACTGAAGCACTGCCACAGCACGTAAAAGAAGTTTCCTTTGCTTTGAAGGGTTTTATTTATGGGATACAATATCAAATTAGCAAAGTCACACAGCCAATGCCATGTTGAGAAAAAAGGGCTTACTCAATTTCCTTCCCATTTTCAGGTACCAGAGTGAGCAACAGACATTTTCAGGTCTATATATCCACTAAAATGCATGATACCAGGAAGGGGAAAGGGGCGGGAAGGAGTCCCTTCTAGAAGAGTGGCATACAGGGTCCCCAGACACTCCCTCATGGAAAGATCTGCAATGCAGAGTCAACAGGGAGAGATTGGTGGGTTCAAGAATAATTTTTTGGTTTTGAGTCACACCTGGCAGTGCTGAGGCCGCTCCCCACATGTGCATGGAGGACCATGAGGTGCCAGGGACTGACCCAGGGTTCAGGCACATAAAGTTTGTGCTCTGGCATACACCCACCTCCCTGGCCCTCAACACTGAGATTCGAACCAAACCTCTTTTTCTCTGCTTATATCTTTCCCTCTGCTCATTAATGTGAAAAATGTAACTTTTCTCATTCCAGTATGGTAGACAAAGGTTCAGGAGCTTCAGAAGTTAGGTCACAATGTCACACTAAAACTCAAAACGGACAGATCAGAGAACTGAGAGATCTTGGCTCTTAGAAAAAGTGGGACATACAAGGCCTCTTAAGACCCACTCTGTTATAACATTTGCAAACACATATAAATTACATAATAAAATAACAAGTGAAATTTCTTGGGAATTTAAAGAATCTTTCAAATATTTTTCATCGTAATGGGGTAGAAATTTGTCTTTAGAGTTGTCGAACTTTTCTTTCTGTACTCTTTATGTTGACATCTAAGTTCTCCACTTTGTTCGTAAGGCGATCCAGAATGTCATCTTGCTCCTCAATTTCTGTCTGCATCCCCAGTGCTATGCCCTTCAGTCGGCCCAGTCCTAAGGAGAGCTCATCTGTGAAGAGGAAAGGACATACGCCTGAGCGAACAGTCATGGCAAGGGGCAGTGCTTTTCTTGGCACTACTGATGGGGTTGGAGAGACAGTACAGTGAATGAAGCACACATATAGATCCTCAAGCACTGTCAGAAGTGATCCCTTAGCATAGTCAATTGCCTTGCACGCGGCCAACCCGGGTTCGATTCCCAGCATCCCATATGGTCCCCCGAGCACCGCCAGGAGTAATACCTGAGTGCATGAATCAGGAGTAACCCCTGTGCATTGCTGGGTGTGACCCAAAAAGCAAACAACAAAAAAAAAGAGCACTACTATGTGGTCAGGGAAATAGCTCAAAGGGGTGGTGTGCAAACTTCATGTGGAAGGCCCAGGTTTAATACCAAGCACCACACGGTCTCCCCAGGACCACAAAACCAAACACACACACACACACACACACACACACACACAAATAATAAGATAAATAAAGATAAACTGTTAAGTAAAAAATAGCCAGCATATATATACATTTGACACTATAACAAGAAATCTAAGCAGATTAGGGCGTGGATGAGTGGGCCACACCAAGAGGTGTCAGGGAACAGTATGTAGTGTCAGGATTTGAAGTGAGATCAGTCACATGAAAGGCAAGTGCCCGACCCCCTGTACTATTTCTGGACCATTATAGAATTAAACAAACTGACTTTAATTCTGGACTTCCTGAGCTAATTGGAACCTCTAAGCTTGTAATTCATGAAGATTAAAACCTCCAGGGTCATCTCAGGCCGCAGAAAGTTTGTTGGCAATTGGAACAGCAAAGGACAGGAAAACAGGCATACTGAGCTAGAGTGATAATAAACAGCCACCAGGGCAGAGGCAGACTCAGTCCAGTTCGTAAGGGGGTCCGTGGTAAGAAGGAAAGTTCTCAAGGGCATTCAGGATCTATACAGGGGGATGCGTGCAGGTAGGGTGACTGGCAGTGCTCTGAAGCGTCTTCTGAGTGCCACTCCAGACCTTCTGTACAATGACTGCTTCCTGCTCAGAGGCCCCAGCTCTGAGCTCATGAGCCAACTCTCATGCCAACTGCAGGCTTGCAGCCGGAGCTCTGGATCACACTTTCCCTCTTCCCTACTACGCCCTTGGGCCGTCTGTCTCTTCCCTCTCCCCAGTGTGGCCACAACTGCCTTCTGATCCCCTGGTGAGTCTGGAGAGGCCAGCTCTGAGCAGATGAGTTTTCTCCAAGGACAGAGTCCAGAAGCCAGAAGTAGGAGCTTTCCTGGGCTGAGGGCAAAGGGCAGCTGGGGTTGGGTGGAGCTCCGGAATGGGCTCTCCGCCCTGCTGCCTGCAGGTGTTGATGTAGCACTGACAGACTAGGTACACCAGGGGAGCAGTGGGGACAACAAAATGCGGAATTATGGGTCTTTATTTCTCTGCACTTGCTTATGTATATTCTCGACAGTCTTATTTCTGTAAATAATTTTTTTTGGGGGGGTGCTTGGGGGTCATAGCCAATGTCCTCTAGGAGCCAATCAATGGTGTTTGGAGGACCATGTGATGCCAGGGATCAAAGTCAGGCCTCTGAAATATAAAGTACACTTACCAGCTCTTTGAAGTATCTCTCTGGCCCTAAAACAATACAATTTTTCCTGTGCATGCAGTGCTGGGGTTGAACCCAGGGCCTCACATATGCAAGACAAATGCTCTATCACTGAGCAACATTCCTAGTCCTGAACATTTCTTTTGTCCTTTTTGTTTTTTAGGTCATACCTGGTGATGCTCAGGGTTCACTTTTGGCAGTGTTTACCGTACCATATGGGACGCTGGGGATCAAATCTGGGTCAGCTGCATGCAAACCAGGCTCCTTACCCAATGTGCTATCTCTTTATAGTTCCAGTGAAGATTTCTTTAGTTGCAGAGTGCACAGGGGTTAAGGTGTTGCCCTGAATTGGCTGACTCTGGTTCCATTCCCAGCACCATATATGGTTACCTGAGCACAGAGGCAAGAGTAACCCTTCAGTATCAACAGGTGGGGCCTAACCTCACCCCCTCAGAAAAACCTTTTCAGGGCTGGAGTGATAGGACAGCGGGACGACCAGGGTTCAATTCCCATTGTACAGCGGGTAGGGCATTTGCCTTGCACGCGGCCGACCCGGGTTCGATTCCCGGCATCTCATATGGTTCCCTGAGCACCGCCAGGAATAATTCCTGAGTGCAAAGCCAGGAGTAACCCCTGTGCATTGCCAGGTGAGACTCAAAAAGCAAAATAAACAAACAAAACCCCCCCTTTTTAATTCCTTTACCTTACATAATTCTACTTCTAGTAACTCAGTTATAGAATTTGAACAGAGATTTCCTCAGAGGACTGGCCAAAGGGTTACTTGAGGAGCAAACAATAGAAATAACCCAAGTGTCCAAGAGCTGGGAATGGAAATGTTAAAATCTTTTTTCAAAGAGATTTTAGAAAAAAGCTTTAGAAAGGTGCTTGGGAAATAAGTGAAACTCTGGGAACAGATATGCACACACCAAGTGACCATGTCCAAGTGGCACAGTGCATGCACGAGCACATGTGACACTCAACCTGTGACTGCTGCTGGATGGGGGTCAGCACTTACGGAACCGCCCATCATCTTATCCAAGCAAATGTACTCAGAAACAAAGGTTAAACATTAATAAGACAAAAGGAAGGACTAAGCAACAGTACAGCGGGTAGGGTGCTTGCTGTGCAGGCGGCTAACCTAGGTTTCATTCCCAGCATTCCATATGGTCCTGCAGAGCCAGGAGTAACCCTTGAGCACCAATTGGCATGCCACCCCCCCTCCCTGCCAAAAAATAAAAATAAAATAAAAAGATAAAAGGAGGCTGAGGTGGGCAGTGTAGCGGTGGGAGGGCAGGCCAGGGCCGGGGTGTGATTCCTGATCTCTCCCAGGAGAAGCACGAGAAGCCTGTGCACAGAAGCCGGGACTCCGGCTCTGTCCTCCAGAGACTTCCTTTATTATGGGTGGAGAAGGGATCTGATATCTTTGCCACCAGCCACGAGAGAGGTTCCTGTTCAGAGCAAAGATCAGAGGAGGCAGTAACTGAGTCTCCACCTAGAACAAACTCAGGAAAACCATTCAAAGGTGCACATCCGTCACTGACACACATGCCTCCACCTGAACTTTGAATAACTAGCTCCTCTGTCTTCATTAAAAATGGATCAGAGGGCTTAGGTGAACAGGAATTCAGTCTGAAAGACTCCTGAGGGCCTGATGCCCACAGTCTAGTAAGGAAAAGAACAGATACACAGTTGGCTGGGTGCTGCAGTGGAATAGGGCGCTCTCTGGGAGATGACAAAGTGAAGGGCACAGTGTGGGCAGCAAGGCCAGGCCAGGCCAATAGGGTCAGGAAAGGACTCAGTCATTGTGATAAAGGCAGGTGGGGCCAGAGGCTGGGGCTATGGAGCCCTGGTAGTGCGACAACACATGAGTAGCCTCACAGTGGGTAGCCACTGACAACTTTGTGTGATGTACTGTGCTGGCTCCTGTTCCCTCTCCCAATCCCTGAAGGAGGAAAGCCAAGCCTCATGTGGCAAGGGCACAAGTGGAGAGAGCAGATGCATGGGATGGCCCCTAGGAGAGAGACGCTGGAACCTTGCTTCCCTGATCCAGCTGAGGGGAGCACAGCGGAGTGAATAGTCTCCAGAGTGAAGTTTGAGATGGACACTATCATGTGCCTAGGGAGAGGCGACAGCAGGTTAGGGCCCAGTGTTCTGAGTGAGCTGTGGTAGCCGCAGTGGCAGCTTCTGGTCTTACCTAGATTGTTGTCAATCTTCTGATGATAAGCTCGGAGTTGGGCATTCTTTGGGTAAACCTCGGAACTCACAGCAGAGCCAGTTCCACTAGGGATAGGATCTGAGGAAAGAAAGAGAAGATGGGTTAGCTGACATCTCTTGAAAATGCTGCCTTGCAAAAATAATCCTTTTTTTTGTTCTTGAGCCACACTGAATAGTACTTGGGGAAACTGATGGTGCTAGGGATCAAACCTGGATCTCCAGCGGCAAAGCATGTGCATCAGCTTTTTGAGTGGTTTCCCTGCCCAAAGCAATCTTAACCTAGAAGATGGGTGGAAGGAAGAAGAGAGTGGTTGGTTCTGAGACCACTCAAAGAGACCTGAGTGTGAACAGATAAGGCAGAAGGGTAGTTCAGGCAGACTTGACAAAATGGGAGAGGGGGAAATACTGTTTGGGAGGGATAGTTCTTTGGAGCTCTAAAACCTCAACCTAGGGACCTGGGAGATATTTCTATCTCAAAAAGCTGGAGCTCAAGTCCGAAAGGGAGAGGGCTGAGTTTGATCCCTCTCATGGGATTGCTTTCTTAGCATTGCCAGGTATAGTCTGCACTTGGGAGGCAGTGTCCTCCCCCACCCGGGCCCCCGCCGGGAAAAAGAAAGAAAGAAAGAAAGAAAGAAAGAAAGAAAGAAAGAAAGAAGACCCTCAACTTATATAGGTCCCTCTGGCCAGTTACTGGCACACAACTGTGCTCAGAAAAGAGATTCACACAGAAGAACAGTGACAATGCAAAACTACATAGGTCTGGGAATGAAGTCTGAAGACAAGGTTTTGAAATCGAAATGATGTTATGAAAATGGTTAAGGGCTGATCATCTTTTTTTTGTTTCTGTTTTTGTTTTTTTGTGGGCCACCTCCGGCAATGCTCAGGGGCTCTGCACTCAGGAATGACTCCTGGCAACGCTCAGAAAAGACTCCAGGCATGCAAGGCAAACCCTACCCACTGTACCATCACTCCAGACCTCATCTTTTCATTTTAAAGTGTATTTCTATGTTATCTTTTCACTTCAAGGAAAAGAAAACATGTTAAAAAATGCCTCAGGATATCGTAAGTGTCCAAATGCCAGTACAGGAAAGGGTGTATTTGCTACCCTGCTACATCTTTTTTTTTTTTTAAACAATACTGCAGTTTATCAAAAGACAGATAAGAAATTTCAACTCTTATGTCTTTGACAGTTATAAAAAAATTGAAGTCTTGGCTAAGTTATAAACATGTTTATGATGCAACATTTGCATAACAAATAATGCTACTAACGATGTCTAGAAGATCAGGATAGTTTAAAAAAACAAAACAAAACATAAAAATACAGAGCCAATTATTTACTTGTAGAACGTGTACATTTATGCCTAAATTTTAGCACTTACTGTACCACCACTGATTAAAAAAAATCACATCCAAAATATAAGGCAAAACCACCTATGAATTGGCATATTAGTTTATTTCTCAGTTTTTGAAAATGTCCTTAATTTACTGATATAGTAAACGAATGTCAGCTCTGATTGCTATGCAAAAGAACAGAAGATAATCTGCTTGGCAATGAACATTAAAAGCTCAATTGCACACAGGCAACATGCTATATATGAAAAGTTACTAACTGAACTGGCTGGAGTGATAGCACAGCGGGTAGGGCGTTCGCCTTACAAGCGGCCAACATGGCCGCCCCGAGTTTGATTCCTCCGCCCCTCTTGGAGAGCCCGGCAAGCTACCGAGAGTATTCGATATGCCAGACACAGTAACAACAAAGTCTCCAATGGAGACGTTACTGGGCCCGCTCGAGCAAATCGACGATCAACGGGAGGGCCTTTACTTTTTACTTTACTAACTGAACTATGGATATTAAATACTGAAAAAAGTTAACAGTTTATTATAATTTATTTTATTTAACAATCTAGGAAATTCGCAGCCATCAGCAGTTCCAGTGCAATTTCAGGTGCAATTGGGAATTCAGGAATCTCGGTCGAGCTGTTAGTGTAACGAACCCTGTAGGGGCAATACATGCACACTTTGGATAGCACATGTGAAGGGATCTCTCTAAAATTGACTTCATTGGTTTCATTTTCAGGAAACTGACCTGGGCCACTCAACATGGCTTTTACTGTTCCTGATGTTAACGCATGTTCTCTTTTTATAATAAACTCATGGCCGTCAGAGGATATTAATTTGACATACATAGCATCAGGGCCTTCACAGCCACCATAGGTTTTCTCTTCTCCATCCATTATGTTCTTAAGAAATTCTACTTCACTCCCAGAGGAAATTTAGGAGTTTCTCGTCAGCTCCGCAGCCACCGCAGCTGCCGCGCCCGCGCCCCGCGCACCACCACAGCCCCAGCGCCAGGGCCGCCCCCCCCCCCCCCCCCCCCCCGGCTACATCTTTTTGGGAAACAACTTCTACACTGAGCACTTTTCCCTCTAGAACAGCTTACTGAGGCCATTTGCCACAAAGCAGTGTTTTCTCTTGCCCTCTCTGCTCCCTTTGTTGTTGTGACACATGCTTGGTTGTGGTGCTCACTGGGTTGTCACCTTTAGTTGCGGGTGTCTACCTGGCCATGTGCTGAGGATTGCACACTGATGAGCTGCTGGGGGTTCCAGACCAGAGAGCTGCTCAGCACATGGGGAAATCAATCTGGGGTTATGCTGTGGGCCATCCCTCCACCCCATGGGTTTTTCTTTATAAAGTCTTCTAAGTTAACTTATGCTACTGAGTAAAACTTCCTTAAGTTCTCTACAGCCAAGTCTTCTGGTGCAGGACTCCCAGCATACCTCAAGCTACATGGAGCTCATGCTTCCAGAGGCTCTCAGCACCACGGCTGCTGCTCCAGACTGAACAACTGTGTGTACTAACTCTCCTGCCTCCAGTTCTGCCAGCAGGTGTGGCCTTGACTGTGTCCTATAAAAGTGACAGTTCTTATGCAACCAGGATGTGTCCCATGTTCCCTCCCAGGCAGCATAGGAAGTGCATATTTCCAGTGGCCTGTTGGTGTTCTGGATTCCCTAGGGCTCTTCAGAAGCTGCAGGAGGCCAGAACCCTGTTCTGGAGGAGCTGTGTTTCTGGTCCATCATTCAACATGAATGGGGTAGGCAACACAAACCAATTCTCTCTTGGATGCCTGGTCTGCACTGCTGCTGCGCTATCCACTTGGGCTTGGGGCGGAATTTGTTTCCAAATGCCGCTGTAACAAGTGCCATAAATGGACCCTGCAATTCTGGAAGCCCAGAGTCCAAGAGGGTTTAATAGGGAATCGATCAACAGGACTGAATGCTTTCTGGGGCTCTTGTGGAGAGTCCAAAATTCTTAGCGTCTCGCACTCTCTAGAGATCATCTGTACTCACCCACTTCAGAGTCAGCTGCAGAGCATCTTCAGGTCTCTCACTCTGACTCTCCAGTCTCCTTCCTGGATTACACCAGGGGCATGTAATAACCCAGAACCTCCTCATCTCAAAGTCCTCAAAGTCGACTGATTAGCAACTACCAATCCACCTGAAATCCTAATTCTCCTTTTGTCATGTAATCTGCCCTAATCAGGGATGTGAGATTAGTACTGGACCACCTCTGAAAGAACACTGTCCTTCTTACCACTGCAGTTTTCCCGCAGACGGCTTTTCACTGTCGGAAGCACATAATGCGGGCCTGCTCATGTTCAGTGGGATGCAGCCCCATCTCCTCCCTCCTCCCTCCATCCGTAAGTGGGATGGCGGTGGCTAGAGCCTCCAATGCCTTCTATGTACTGAGGGCTAGCACCAAACCCAGAAATACCCCCAGAGAACCCAAATATCACCTGGGAGCAGAGGTCACCACTGACCTGAGTCATTCAACTTCCTGAGGTTTGGGTGGCTGGCCTGGTATGCTGCATCTTGCTCTTTACTTGTACTGATGGCTTCTTTCAACCTTTGGACAAAGTCAAGAAAAAAGAAAACTTTAAAAAAGGAAAACCGCCTATGTGAGAGCAGCCTTTTTCACATCATGCCTGGGTGAGAAAATCGATTCCTCCTTTGTATAAAGCAGCATCTTTGGGGAGATGACCCCATCAGCTCTCTATTTGTCAGTAAAAACAGAAATCCTAACACCAGGTGGAAGAAAGCAAGAGAGACCAAACAGGCCAAAACTGTTACCCATAGGTCAAATCTAGCCCATGACCTAATTCCGTATGGGCAGAAGCAGAGTCCAGTCTTTCCAGATGACGGCTGACAACTGATCAGATGAGTGCTTTCCAAAGGGGCGACACCCCCCCACCCCCGCCTGCTGGAATGGTCTAGGGATAGGTGGTATGATTACAAGGCACTTTCTGTTTTGTCGGTTAAAATAGGCACACTTCCCAGAGGAGTGCTAAATTGTCATTATTTTTTTCTATGAAGCGGACAGGAGACAAAGTAAGTTTGGGAACCTCTAGAATAGTGCAAACACTAACTCTAAGCCTCCAGTAACTAGTACTTCTTGGGGGCCAGAGATATAGCTTAGCAATAGAGTACCTGCCTTGTGAGGTTCCTGAGTCTGGGTAAAATATCCAGACCGAGACCCAGACCCAGACACACACAGACACAGATAGACAGACAGACAGACAGACACACACACATTCTCATTATTAGAGATATATCACAAACACACACATAAAAAAAACTATTTTTGTTTTGTTGTTACATAAAGGCCCTCCCGTTGATCGTCGATTTGCTCGAGCGGGCCCAGTAACGTCTCCATTGGAGACTTTGTTGTTACTGTGTCTGGCATATCGAATACTCTCAGTAGCTTGCCGGGCTCTCCGAGGGGGCGGAGGAATTGAACTCGGGTCGGCCATGTTGGCCGCTTGTAAGGCGAACGCCCTACCCGCTGTGCTATCGCTCCAGCCCATAGAATACCTTAATTTCCCCCCATTCCACAACAAGTCAGGCTGCTCCAGCTATAATTAGGGACTTCTTTGGAACTTGGAGACACCTTAGAGAACCCTACCTTAGAGAACCCCCAAAGGTATCATAGAAGTCCCTCCCTCAAGCCAGGCTACCCTTTTTCACCCCCACTGTGGAACAGCAACCTGGCCACTTCATCAGCTAAGCTCAGATGCAGCAATTCTCCATGAGGTTCTCCCTCCCTCTGCACCGCTCCTGCCCCATTAGTTTTGGGCATACTAGTGTCTCTTTGATCTCCCTCCAGTCTGGAATCTGGCCCTGCCTTTTCTTACCTTTATGTAGGTAAGTCCTTCACCTTTCCAATCCCCTATACCTGTGGGAAGTTTTACTTCCCTTTCTTCCTTTCCCCTCTCCCCTCCCTTTTCTCTTTGGCCAACTTAGAGTACTTTATAAAATTACCCTTTGCAGCGGTTTTATTTTTCTTTTTGTATTTTGGACCACACCTAGTGGTGCTCAGGGCTTATTACCTGACTCTTATGCTCAGGGGTCACTCCTGGTGGGCTTGGGGGACCATAAAGGATACCAGGGATTGAAGCATGGTTGGCCGAGTGCAAGTCAAATGCACTACTCACTGTACTATCTCTCTGGCCTATTGCAGTGATTTCTGCAAATGCAGGGACTTAGGAACTCACAGGCCCGAATCTTCTCAATGACAGGAGTCAGCTCAACTACTCAACTAAAGCAGCCAATGCCTCCCTGTCCCAGCCTCTCCTATACCCCGACTGCCACCTATCTGTATTTACCCTCTCCCTCAGCCTTGAACCCTAAGTCCTCAATCCCCAGGGCCACACACCCTTTGGGGCTCGATTACCGCTAACTGCCTATCTTCCTTATAATTTCCATAGACAGATCTTCATCCAAAAATGTCTTTAAAAAAAAAAATTGGGGGTTGAGGGGTTTGGGCCACACCTGGCTGTATTCAGGGCTTATTCCTAGCTCTGTGCTCAGGGATCACTCCTGGTGGTGCTTGGTGAACTATGTGGGGTGCCAGGGATCAAACTGGGCTCTGCTGCTTACAAGGCAAATGCCCTATGCACTGTACTATCACTTCTGCCCTTTGATCTTAAAGCTTCTAAGGCAGAGCCTGGGCACTGAGCACCCATGAACGAAAGAATCCATGGCTCTGTCACCGGAGCTTCTCGAAATCACACAGATCTGCTCCAACACGTTTGAGAACTAGTTAAATCACAGTGAATGGTTTTATTTAAAAGTTTATTAAGGGCCAGAAGACAGTATAAAGGGTAGGCGCTTGGCTTGCCTGTAGCCGACCTAGGTTCAATCCTGTACATGGTCCCCTGAGCACCATCAAGTGTCATCCATGAGCACTGAGCCATGAGATCAGTAAGTCATGAGCACAGCTGGGGGTGCTCATGTTGTGCTCACCTCTCCAAAGTTGTTAGGGCCAGAGTATAGGAGCGAAGGTGCCTGTCGGGTATGCAGCTGACCCTGGTACAAATCCCTGGTACCATGTATGGTCCCCCAAGCATGGCTGGGGTCACTCCTGAGCATAGAGCCGTAATTGTCCCGAGCACATCTGGGTGTGTACCCTTTCCCCCCACAAAAAAAAGGATTGTCATCTTGGGCTTGCTAAGTGATGGCAAGAAAAAGCGGTTCTGCAGGAGCCAAGAGAGGCTAAGGCACATGTGTGAAGCTGCCTGTGTGAAGCTGGGAGCACTGCATGGCCTCCTGACCTCCACTCGGTGCAGCCCTGCAGGCCTCCTGAGCAGCACTGAGCTTGATCCCTGAACCAGAACTGCTGGGAGTGGTTTCCAGACCCTGGGCATCACTTAGAGAAGGCCTGCCCCCCACTCCGGCAGTACAGAAAACACAGCTCTGGTTTCCAGAATGAAAAGAGACAGAGAGGGATTAGAGGTAAAGCACTTGCCTTTTATGTGGAAGGCCCTAGGTTTCTTCCACATACAAAATAATACAAGTATAAAAAAAATAAATGAGTGAGAGAAATTTGATCATGAAATCTGTGATAACATTACATCGAGTATTTTTCTGGGGGCCAGAGAGGTAGTACAGTGGGGAGGGCATTTGCCTTGCTTGGGGTCGACCCACGTTCGATCCCTAGAGCCCCACCAGGAGTGATTCCTGAGTGCAGAGCCAGGACTAACCTCTGAGCATTGCTGGATGTGACCTCCCCCCCAAAAAATCAAAAAGCAAAAAACAAAAAAACCCAACAACAACAAAAAATTAGCACTGTCCTCCCATTGTTCATCGATTTGCTCGACAGGCCCAGTAACGTCTCCACTGTAAGACTTATTACTGTGTTTGGCATATTGAATACATCACAGGTAGCTTGCCAGGCTTTGCCGTGAGGGCGAGATACTCTCGGTAGCTTGCCAGGCTCTCCGAGAGGGGCAGAGGAATCGAACCTGGGCCAACCCGGTTGGCAAGGCAAACACCCTACCTGCTGTGAACAACAAAACAACACAAAAATTTTTCTGAGTTAAATGGAAAAAGTAGTCTATAAAACCAAATAAATACTTTGACTCAAACTATGAAAAGCACTAAAATTGAGGGGGAAAAGCATTTTTTGTGTTAGGGGCCACAACTGGTTGTTCTCAGGGCTTAGTCCTGGCTTTACTAGTCAGGGATCACTTCTGGCGGCACCATATAGGGTACTGAAGATTGAACCCAGGTTAACCATGTGCAAGGCAATCGCCATACCTGCTGTACTATTGCTTCAGCCCTCCAAAAACAAAATTTTAAGTCTGTATTTGCTTTTTGTTTTCAGGGAACACCTGTGGTGCTTAGGGGCTTGGAGCTTAGGAGTTGCTCCCAGTGGTGCAGTACTGGGGACTAAAACTTGGCTTCCTTACATGCAAAGCCTATGCTTCAGTCTACTGAGTTATCTCTCTTTTTTTTTTTGCTTTTTGGGTCACACCTGGCAATGCACAGGGGTTACTCCTGGTTCTGCACTCAGGTATTACCCCTGGCAGCCCTTAGGGGACCATATGGGATGCTGGGAATTGAACTCGGGTCGGCTGTGTGCAAGGCAAACGCCCTTCCTGCTGTGTTATTCCTCCAGCCCCGACTGAGTTATCTCTTAAGTTTTTATATTACAGTAGGTGAATGTATGTTTCCTACAATACAGATATAGGAATATGTGCATATATACACAGACGAGATAAAGTGGGCCACACTGATGGAGGAAGGGGAGAGAGCTGGGGCCACTCCCAGCAATGCTTGGCCCAGTGGTAATGTATTGCTGGGGTGGAGAGAAAACAGCAATTTAGTACATGTGGTGCCAGGGATCAAACTTGGGGCCTTGGCCACGCAAGGCGTGTACTCTATTACTCGAGTCACCTCTCCAATCCAGCTATATGCTTATAATAAAAAACAGACACAATGATCTGAGACATGAATAGCATGCAATCCATTTTAGTGGGAACTCTTATTTCTTTGTACACAGGATTTTTGGGGGTGCCTCCTAGTCATGTGGTCTAGGGACCACTTTGATGATACTTGGCATGGTTGTGTGGCTGAATTTTTTTGGGGGGAAGGATGAGGGGGTCAGCTGCATCCAGTGGTGTCCAGGACCTGTTCTCTGGGCTCAGGAACTACTCCAGGCAAGGCTTAGGGACCACATGGGATGTCAGGGATCTAACCCAGGTTGGCCACATGCAAGGCAAGCACCCTACCCACTATACTATCTCTTCAGCCCCCTTTTTGTTTGTTTTTGGTCCACACCTGGCTGTGCTCAGGGCTTACTCTTGGCTGCTCGGGGAATCATATATGATGTACGTGATGTGTGCAACACACTAACCCCTGTACTAAAGGTCCAGCCTCTAACAGAAAATCTCCAAGTGTTTGTGTGGTTTAGGTAACATAGATGCAGTCTGAAAGTCTAGGTCATTTGCACCCAGCCCCTTATCTGCTCCCTCTCTGTGGACAGCTGAAGATCTACTCACCTGCTGCTGGGCTGGGAGGGGAGGGTGCCATTCTGCTGAGGTGGGACCTCTGCCGGTTTGGGTTTGAAATAGTTGACAAGCCCCCCAAACACACTCTTAATGCTGTTTATATGCTTTTGGCTGGTTTTCAGATCTTGATCCATCTTGTCTACCATCTTCTCTGTGTGTTCTAAGACTCCTCGCTGGCGGACAAGCTCCTGGAGAGAATGAAGGATGATAGCATTACACCTTTTTGCGATCTTCCCCTTACCCTTGTAAGACTATGCAAGATCATCAACCCTGGGTGAGCACACGTGGGACACACTGCTGCCCTCTGTGAGGGGCACAATGTACATTCTGACAAAACATCCCGCGCTTCCCCACTGCTATAACTCTACTTCCTTTCCTTACATGGTCCCTTCCCCCTATGCCTACATGAGGCAGAACTACATAAAATAATACAGTGGGAGTGAGCAGGTAAGGCAGGAGATGCTTTCAAACTCGGGACTAGAGTTTATATACTCCTGTTCTTGAAACAAGAGGTTCCATGGAGTCCTCTGAGCCACCTGGCCCCAAATATGTCTTCAAACTCTATTTCACAGGCTAGGTTGTGGGGTCCTTCTGGAACCCTATTTGTGTTCGATTCCAACCACCTAGTTTCAGTTTTAAAATCTGTCACTGTGCAAGATGCTCAACGGGACAGTATCTGCTTTCAAGGGTTAAGTCCAGGGTTTAATTTCTGGTGCTGGTACCGTATGGGCCCCTGAGCCCCAGCAGGAGCATCCCCCATGTTAGGGTCAAAACCCGAAAGAAACCCCACTCCCCAACACACGAAGCCTTATCTACAGGGCCAGGTGATGGTGCTATGGAAGAGCAGGAGTGTACACCTGGCGTGCGAAGGCCCTGGGGGGAGGCCCTGTCCTGCACGCACCCACCCGCCACATGGCACTGCAGGGCTGAGCAGCTAAGTAGGACTGGGTGTAGTGCGGGGCCTGAGCACTGCCCAAGAACAAACAACAAATCCCAACCTTGAAACAGCGGCGACCAACGTCAGAGTCCTCTGACAGCCACATGCCTCATCCACACCCCCATGTAGCTGCACCCAGAGCAGACTTTCCCCATCCCTGCTCTTCAGCGGGGCCCACTAACACCTTTACTGCATGGACACAGTCCCGGAGGCTGGGAACTCGCTCCCTGAGCCTGGCCCTTAGTCCCAGGTTTGATTCTCAACATCCCTTATGGTTCCACCAAGTCCACCAGGAGTAATCTTTGAACAAAAAGGCAGGAATAAGCCCTGAGTGCCATAGGATGTGGCCCCTTCAAAAAAAAAAAAAAAATATGGTCTATGCTTTTCAAAGTGTCAAGCAGTTCTTAGAGGATTAGTTGAAGAAATATAGAAATATGATTACCTAATTTTGGGGGGCTGGGAGATGGATCAGTGGCTAAAGCACCTGCCCTATAAGCATGAAGCCGAGTACAATCACTGGTGAGGCCTTGCATGTGTGAGTACTGTGGAGTTGAGTGGCGGGGGAGGGGGGGGCGGAACACACCTCTGCTCCTGTACCAGGAGGCATGTCCTGAACTTCCTCACGAAAGACAGCTCCTGTCTGCCTCAGCCCTTCCACCTCTAACTCAAGAGTCACTGCAGTAACAAGGAGCTGTCAAAACCTTAACCAATTTACAGAGAGATCTTACTTTCCTCTGTTCCAAGTGACACTACCTCTCAAACTCTCATCTCCTGTCATGGGGCTGCCATGGTAAGGGAGCCCCCCTCCCCCAACAGAACGAAATGTTCCAAGTGCAGAGGAACAAGTGGTGGCTCTTGTGTGTGAGTCTGGAAGGGCAGGGAGGAAATGCTACTCTGGTCAGCTTCTGCAAGGTTCTTTGCATCGGAAGCTGATTATTCAGAGTGTTCTGCTGGTCAGGAGGTGAGCAAAGGAGAGAAGTCTCTTCGATCTCTTCTGCTAAATTCCTCTGTCATAAGCAGAGAAAAGACCAGGCCTAGTTATAACCAGGGAGGAAGGGTGTGTGTGTGTGGGGGGGCCGGCGCTGAGAGAGCAAACATTAATAACTCTGGCCAGGCAGGTCCTGCACCCCTACTATTACTAAGGCAGGCCTCAAACACCCCAAGACCCATGGAGAGTTCCTGTCTCCCAAAAGGGTGCCTGTTACTGTTCTCAAGAGGGTCCTTTTGAGAATGGGAGTTTCAGCACAAAGATCCCCTGCCCCGCCTCACTGCTGGAGACTGAACCCAAGACCGCCTCTCTCTCTCTTTCTCTCTCTCTCTCCCCCCCTCTCTCTCACACACACTCACACACACACACACACACGTGAGTGCGTGGGGCAACTTTTTATTGATGAGCTACAACCCCAGTTCCAATACATATAGACTCGAGCACTTCAGATCCTCTGAATCCTCTGAGTCCCCAACAAACTTTAACTCTCTTTTTTTGCTTTTGGAGCACACTGAAACAGTGCTCAGGAGCTATTACTGGCTCAGGAGTAACTCAGGAGCTACCCCTAGCAGCACTTAGGGTACCACATGTCCTGCTAGGGATCCAGCCAGTGTCAGCTGCATGCAAGGTAAATGCCTTAACTCCTATACTTTCTGGTTCCTAAAGGACTGATCTAAAGTTAAAGTAGAAAAAGGTGGTCCTAGAAAAGAGTTAGTTGGACCAGTGGTACAATGGCAAGGGGAGCATTTCAATTCCTCTTTGGCTGTGGCTCTTTGGTAAGCAGGAGGATTCCTGACAGAGCAAGCAGAAGCAGAACAAAGGCAGCTGACAACGTGGTAAGAGTGTGAACTGCCCTTTGTGTGTGTGTGGGGGGGGGGGATCATGCCCACCGGCCCTATGAGGAATTAAGGCATCAGGGACTGCTGCTGGCTGAGTGTTCTTTGGGGACATCTGCAGTGAGAGATGTAGGAAGTCAGTTGGAGCACTCTGTGTCAGGCTTGGAACTTGGTGGGTACAGGAAGCAGTCCCAAATCTGTGCCCACATGGAACTTATACTCTAAGGTAAAGTCAAGATGAGTGCAGTTCCATCTGATATCTCATCTGCTGACAACACTGTGGCCCTGGGAATCCAAGGAGACAGACAGGAAAGCCAGCACATACAGAAGATGGGGAATCTTCACCTGAATTAAGTGGGAATGGGCGGGGGGGTAGGGTGGGGTGGGATGGGGTCAGGAAGGTTCTTGATGGGCTAAGAAAACCCAGAAGCTGAGAAGTTATGGAGTCAAAGGGTGTGGGTGAGACAAGAGTGTTCCAGGCAGAGAGGGCAGCACATGCAGGGCCAGCTGGGGGAACTGAGAGAGGAAAAGGAACTGAGTGTGGTGAGCACAGAGAGGGTGTGGGGGGCGGGGTGGGGAGAAATCATAGACAGGATACACAGGGATTCCCTAAGGGGGCAGGCTGAAGAGTCCAAGGGCAAAGGGCAGCAGTGATCAGTGGTCCGCCAACCCTAAAATTCACAGCCCATGCATCTATCTCCTCTCTGTCCAGAGAACACAGCTCTTCTTGGCCTATCTGCAGAAACCTTAGCCTTAAAAGTCACTTAAGTGGACTGGAGAAATAGATAGTACAGCAGGTATGGATTTGCCTTGCACATAGCGATAGCACAGTGGTAGGGCATTTGCCTTGCACGCAGCCAACATGGCCGACCCGAGTTTGATTCCTCCGCCCCTCTCGGAGAGCCCGGCAAGCTACCGAGAGTATCTCGCCTGCACGGCAGAGCCTGGCAAGCTCCCCGTGACGGATTCGATATGCCAAACACAGTAACAACAAAGTCTCCAATGGAGACGTTACTAGGCCCGCTCGAGCAAATCGATGATCAACGGGAGGGCCTTTAATTTAATTTTTAATTTAATAGCTGACTAGGGTTCAATCCCTGGCATCCCATATGGTCCCCTGAGCACCGCCAGGAGTAATTCCTGAGTGCAGAGCCAGGAATAACCCGAGCATCGCCAGGTATTGCCCACCTCCCCCCAAAAAAAAGTTACTCAAGTTTATCTTCTGCCTCCATGCTGCCCTAATTTTCTATCATTTTGCTTTCCAACTTCACTTGTTCTTATAGTGTTCAAAGTCATTTCTTCCAACTGTTCTTAGCTTCCTTGGACCTGAATCCTCAAGTAAGTAACCCCCATCCACTAGTATCCTAAAATCTTGGGCAATTCTCCTCAAATCAAAGTTTCCACTTAGGCTTTGTACCCACTTAGAAACTGAGACGCAAGAACTCCAAAGCTAAACTCTCCGGACCAGGCTAGGAAAAAGAGGAAAGTGGGTCAGTGAGGAATGCCATTAACAGGGAAAAATGAGGAAGAGTAAGAAACCCCAAAAGTGGCAATGACAAATGATGAAGCTGACCATTTAAAACTTATAATCAGATCAAACCCGCACAGCAGAGCCTGGCAAGCTACTCGTGGTGTATTCGAAATGCCAAAAACAGCAACGAGTCTCACAATGGAGACGTTATTGGTGCCCGTTGGAGCAAATCAATGAACAACGGAAGGAGCGTGCTACAGTGCTACAATCAGATAAAAAAAATCACAGAGACCCAAGAAGGAAGATAATAACTAACCTTCCTCAGTCTATCTCATAGCTACAAATGCTTTTTTAAAATTTTTATTTGGGGGGTGGGAAGGATACTGGGACCTGTGGTGGTGGAAAATGGGCACTGGTGGAGGGATGAGTACTTGATCATTGTATAACTGAAACCCAAGCACAAAAATTTGTAAGTCTATAACTGTATCTCATGGTGTTTCACTAATAAAAATAAAACAAAATATTTTTATTTTTTTACTTTTTGGGTGATATTCGGCCATGCACAGGGGTTACTCCTGGATCTGCACTCAGGAATTACTCCTGGCGGTGCTCAGGGGACCATATGGGATGCTGGGAATCGAACCCAGGTCGGCTGCGTGCAAGGTAAACGCCCTACCCACTCTACTATTGCTCCAGCCCCACAGCTACAAATGCTTATGCTGAATTATTCTAAGTGGAATATCTGTTATCAATTTACTAATACATTAAAAAAAAAGTTCCTGTTCTCTGCCCAAACAAAACTATTTCATTAGGAGGCTAAAGAGAGAAAAGGGTGCCTGAGAAAGAACCATGTTCACTTAAGGGGACCACGAGATAGTACAGTGGGGAGGGTGTGAGGCTAGATCTCCAGCATCCTACATGGTCTCTCGGGCCCCCCAGGGGGCTGAGAACAGAACCAGGAGTAACCCCTGAGCATCTCCAGGTGTGGCCCCAAAACAAAACAGAAACAGAACAATGCTGACTTAAAGACTACAGCAACTCTCACATGCGTGGGAAGATGAACCCACGAAAGTGAACTTAAGGAATACGAACAAACTTGGCTGGCTTGTCAAGGACATGGTTTTTGGATAATGGAGGTAAAGGTGAGGCCCTCAATTTGATCCAAGATAGGCTCTTGATTACTCAATGGCTTACTCAAGCAGACAGGACCTGGTCAGGTGTCACTGTCACAGCTGAGATTGACTCATTCTTGCCCCAGCCATCACTTTGTCTCTCCAGGAGGAATGGTGGGGTCCTGGATCCATGTTTCTGCCCGGAATATTAAGGGACAGGTCCTCCTCCAGTTTTCTAAGCTGGGCTCTGCTCTTCTGGAGTTTTTAACCTCTCTGGGCAGACAGTACAGGGGAGAGTTTACAAGCAGAAATGGGAACGGGGGAATCAACTAAGCAAAAAAAAAAATCATACGTGTATATATACATATACACACGTACATTTTATTTAGTTATTTTGTATGGACGGGACCCAGGACCTCACGCAAGCAAGTGCCCGGGCCTTGAGCCACAACTCCAGCCCCCAAAATGGTCAGGCTGTTTCTCGGGCTCGGCATGGACACGTCTTTACCGAGCTCACCGGTCACTGTGAAGTCAACGGATCCCTGAAAGTCGAAACCTAAACTCGGTGACTAGGGAACTCCCCAAAACTCAAAAAAAAAAGAAAAGGAAAGGAAAAAAAGCTCTCAGTCCGACTGGCCGGTCCCAGGCCAGCGCCGCGGCGGACTCACCTCGGAGGCGGCCACCCCTATCTTCTCGGACTCGTACACCAGGGCCAAGGACCGGCCCGAGCTGGCGGCCGTGGCCTCGGCGCGCCGCATCACCTCCTGCCGCAGGTAGAGCTGCCGGTCGGCGGGCGCGCCGGAGCCGTCCGGCGGGCCGCGGGCGCCCTCATCGTCGCCGTCGTCGTCGAACGGGTTGTAGCTCTTGGCGAAGGCCGACATGGGGGCCGAGCGCGGGCCGGGCCGGGCAGGCGCGAGGAATGGCCTCTCAGGCACGCAGGCTGCCCGCGGCCCGCTCGAGAAGCCGGCAGGTGTCACGCGCCGCCGGGATGCCGCGACTCCAAGGCCGCCACAGTCCGCCCGAACCCGCCGACGCGGCTCCAGCTGCTTCCGCCCGCGGCGCGCGGCCGGCCCCGCCCTCGGAGCGGACCATCCTGCCCAGCGGCGCGGGGGGAAGCGGCCCCGGCGCGCGCGCTGCGGCCCGACAGCCCGGCTCGTCCTCCCCCACCGCTCCCGCCGTGGGCCGTCCCCGGGCCCCGCCCCGCCCCGCCCCAGGCCTCGCCCCGCCCCGCGTCGGCAACAGACCGGTCACGTGGCGGGGAAGCCGGATGCGGCCGCGTCTGCGCCCTGAGCGCCGGCGCTCGCGGGCCGAGTGCGGGACGCGGGCCGGCGGCGCCCGGCTGCGCGCGCGACCATGGCGGCAGCCGCGGCCCAGGGAGGCGGCGGCGGCGGCGGCGCGGGCTCCAGCGCGTCGCGGGGCTTCTATTTCAACACGGTCCTCTCGCTGGCCCGCTCCCTGGCGGTGCAGAGACCCGCCTCCCTGGAGAAGGTAGCGTCGGGCGGCTGGGGCGCGGGCTGACAGGAGGAGGGGCCTGCGGACTGCCGAGAGGGGAGGCGGGGCGGGGCGGGGGTCGCGAGCCGCCCGGGACCAGCCTGCGGGGGCGCCGGCGGCGCGAGGCGGCGCCTGGGCGGTGGGGTCGGGGGGTCGCGACGAAGGTGTGACCAGATCCGCGGGGTCCGGGAGGCCGCACTGGAGAGCCAGCAACGGGCACCTTGTGACATCGTCGTGGCGGGGGCGGCGGGGGCAGCGCCGCACCCTCCTTGCCCCGCGTCTGAGACCGTGACCTTGGAGAGGGATGCTTCTTTATTTATTTATTTATTTCTGAAATGCGGCCGCTTTTCAGCTGCTTTGCTTCCCTTCACGCGGGAAGGGGAGAGAGATGTTTGGGGAACAAATGCAGACTGCGCGTTTTTCTAGGGGCTGGATTTTTGACAGGTGTGTGTGTGTGTGTTGCTCAGAAAATGTGTTGATCAGTGGTGTATGTGTAGAAAGGACCTTGATGTGGATGTGGATATACATTCTAGGATGTTTGTGTTTGTGAAATTTGCATTTTTAGGTGTACTATAGAAGGAACCTTGTGTGAGTCTGTATGTGTGAAGGCATGTAGTGTAGGATGGACCGTGTGTGTGTGTGTGTGTGTGTGTGTAGAAGGGGAGTGGATCTTGGAGGCAGGATTGCTTCAGAGGAACCTTCCTGCCAGAAGAACTGTGTCGTGGGGGAAAGGTGAGAGGCACCTCAAGGTGTGTGTGAGTTTTAGGCAGAAGCAGATCTTAGACTCAGTCTTAAGTTTGGTCCCAGCACTGTTGCTTACTGTGTGTTGCTGAAACAAGGTGCTTGGTGCCTGCTTTCTCATCTGTGAAATGAAGTGGTGGTTGAAGCGTGAGGAGTTCAGCAGATCATACCTTGCCTCTCCCCCACTCCCCCTCATACACACATACAAACACAAAGGAGAGCAGTTGATGTCAACTCTCTCCCCTACACCAGTGACAGATGCTATCCATGAAGGTGTGAGCTCCAGGGATGGGTTGGTCTGCTTTTCCATAGTGCTTTCTGTCAAATGGAGAGAGAATGTTGTCTGAGGGCAGAAGAGTTGGCCTGCTGCTTCTGAGATTGTTTTGTGCCTTTCTCTTTTTTTTTATTTTTATAGGGGCCCCAATCCAGTTGTGCTGGACCCTAGGGTTGCTTGGATTGGGCGTTGGAAACACACGACCATACCTGTTGGTTCTCAACCGCTGAAATCATATCTGGCAGAGCTGAGGCAGCAGGTCTGGGGAGAGAGTGGAGCTCAGGACCTCACTCTTGCGAGGCATGTGCTCTAACTCATGAAAAGCCCTTTTTGGTGCTTTGGCAAAGTGGTTTTGTCTTTGGCTTTGTAGGTTCTCACACTTGGTTTTTATTAGTCACTTGCAGGGCAAGTGAGATGTCAACCTGATTTCCAACAAAAGGAGTACAATAAAGTGATAGAATATGCGCTGTAATAATGTGGTTACCTGGAGTTAAATCCTGTATCACTTGTCAGTGTTAGTGTGAGTGTAGTCAGGTCAGTTCCACAACCCGATTCTCTGATTTCTCCTGCAAATACAAGGACAGTGCTGATAGGAGTATTGTAAAGATCAGAAAGGTATACAAATAAAGGCAGGAACACAGGTACCCAATGAACTTATTACTAAATGAGCCAGGCTGATGGACCACAGTACTAGTTTATGAAAATCAAATTCAGGCCATTTAGTCAGCCTGTTACCTTCTTAGAGGACCAAAAGGCATGTCATAAGTTTGCTTGTTGGACTTAGGCAGAAAAAGAGAAGAGAGTACAGGGAACTCCATGATCTTTGAGAAGATGGTCCCTTGGTATGTGGTCCTGTATTTCTAGCAGTGACCATGCCACTTCCTAATAGGTAACTTAAAAATGCACTTGCAACTTAATCATCTTCTCAGCCTTCTTCAGTAATCACAGGAACATTTTGTAATTGTAACCTTGTTAGCTTTGTATCTTTTAGTAAATGCTCAAGTTTTCAAGGTTACAATGTATGTACAACTAATATAGTCTTTAAGGTTGGTGTCTGCCTGATAGCATCTTTTACCTCTGGAGGAATTTCAGTCTTTGGAGGTTTACAAATTACTTCACAAAGGAGTTGATAAAGTAGCTTTTGCTTTGAAAGGTTATTCCTTGGGTGACACCTGGGAATTTGGCATTCGAACAGTACTTTATTCCTCCCCTGATAAGGTGGGTTCACTAGCCTAGGCTCTTTGCACACAAAATGTATGATTTATATATGAAACATATTTTCTTTGGGGAATTTGGAATTTTGATGGTTTTGGAAACTAGTGTCTATTTGAGGAATCCCTAATTAAAAAGTCGGGATTCTGTATTCCTATAGCACACCCTCTGCATGTTTGTTACTACATTGTTTGCTACAGAGGAGGTGGCATGTGCTTGGGGCATACACTCTCAAGAGGGAAAGGATAAGAGAAGCCCATCATGGTTTTCTCTGGGTTCGACTCCTGGCTTTTTCCTCTGCTGATACCTATTCACTGTAGTGGAGTTTAACCCAGAGTTCCTCCGCCCCTCTTGGAGAGCCCGGCAAGCTACTGAGAGTATCTTGCCCGCACGGCAGAGCCTGGCAAGCTCCCTGTATATTCGATATGCCAGACACAGTAACAACAAAGTCTCCAATGGAGACGTTACTGGGCCCGCTCGAGCAAATCGATGAACAAATCGATGAACAACGGGAGGACAGTGACCGTGACAAAGGTGTTTTGTGTGTGGATTTTGAGGAAACTCAAAACAACTTCTTTAGCAGCCTTCTGTGAATGGCTGATCCAATCAAATGTATATGAACTCTTCTAAACTCATCTTGAATCTTGAGACGTGATTATGCTAGCAACCACTGTTCTTATTTAGTCTTAGGGGCTACTGAGTGCTTACTACATTCTTCATCTTCAAAACAATTGGCAGGTCCTCAGCATTCCTAAGAAAATTCTTGAGATTCAAAAGTGTAAAGGAATGGCTGAGTACTTACCTGAATGATTGATGATAAGGAGATCCAGGGTGATGAGTGTTGAAAAACTTATTTCTCTCTCGTTTTACTTTTTCTCCTTTCTTTTGCCAGAGAGATGGCAGGAGTGGCAGAAGTTAGCCTGAGTAGGGCTTCGTCAAATTGGGCAAAGGTGTTTTTATTTTGTGGTGTGTGTGTGGGTCGGGGGGTGGGCGAGGGGCAGGGGTGGTTTGGCCACACTCAGTGGTGCTCAGGACTTACTCTTGGCTCTGTGTTCAGGGCTCACTCCTGGTGGACTTGGAGGACCGTATGGGGTGCTGGGTATCAGACCCAGGTTTGTCTTGTGCAGTGCAAGTGCCCTACCTACCATACTATCTCTCTAGTCTTGAGGAGGTTTTTTAACCTAGGACCTGACACATCTGCTTAGTCACTGGTAATTCAGGCCATCCTGAGTGACACTTGGACACATTGGTGACATAACTTTACCTACCTTTGTCCTTCTTCATGCCACTACTTAAGCTACTCTGAACCCCAGTTGAAAAATAAAATGGATCTCAATTTAGTGAACTTTACTTTTCCCATCAGCTTTTATTAAGAACCAATTCATTGACTGATGATCCAGTCAAATAAATGCAAAATAATTTTAATTTGGTTGCTCAAGTGACCAGTAAGTAACAAGCCTGACTTGCTGCAGGTTCTCATCTGCTTTTGTATTGTGGGTCTTGTGACCAGACTCTTGTCTTATACAACCCAAGATCCCCAGGCATCTGAGTCTGCTGCATAACTGAGCTTTGATGTTTTCTTGCTAAGCTGCCCCTAAAACTCAAGTTCCTGGTCCAGGTTCTTGGGCTCAGAGCAGGTATATGAGATTTCGGGTTTGAATGCCAGCACTAGTGAAAAAAGAGGAGAGAAGGAAGAAAGGAAAGAAGCTGGAGTCCCATTTGAGAGGTGCACCCAGGACCATGCCCATTTCTGAAGATGCCTTTTGTGACTCTCTCTAGACCAAAGGTCCCTCTAGTTTCTTGAGTCCTACTGTCCCATTTTCAGGGAAAAAATAATCAGCCTCCTACCTCTGGAAATCTGATTTAGATGAATGAACAATACCTGTCCCTTCAATTGCACCCAAGACTCCTACCACACTACCTGGATTCCAGTGCCATTCTGCTCTGGGACACTTTGGGAAACACTTCTTGAAATAACAGAAATTTTTTGTTGTTGCTATTTTTGTTTACTTTTTGGCCACACCCAGCAGTGCTCAGGGCTTACTCCTGGCTCTGCTGTTGGGAATCACTCCTGGTGGTGCTTGGGGAATCATATGCCCTGCCGGGGATCGAACCCAGGTTGTGTGTGTGCAAGGCAAATACCCTATTCACTCTACTGTCATCTCCTTTGCCAGAAAGTTGTTTTATCCCAGTTCTAGAGACTAGGATTCCAGGTGGTAATAGCAGTGTCGGATTCTCTTTGCTTGTAGGCGTCTGTCTACAGCCTCCCTCTATGAAGTGTCCTAGTCCCTTGCATGAATACTAA